GTGATCAAAACGGAATAGTCTATTATCTATGAGGTAAGCCGTAATGGTCGTGCTAAGAGAAAGAATATAATAATAATAATAATAATAATAATAACAACAATCATTTAAGCTATTTTCCACTGATAGATATAAATAAATACACCAGTATATCTACACTATTAAAAATAGTGTAGATATCGTGGGACTTAAATTCCCCGATGTATGGATTGTAATTTAGTACGAAGACCAGCGTTCTTTTTACACTTCTGATCTGTCTGTCTGTCTGTCTATCTATCTATCTATCTATATATATATATATATATCATTGTTTTCATTTATTTATCTATCTATCTATTTTAAAAGAAAGTTTGAATTAATATTTGCTGCTTACTTATACCCAAGATAGATAAGGAAGTGAGATAGATAGATAGATAGATAGATAGATAGATAGATAGATAATGAAGTGGCGTAGATAGATAGATAGATAGATAGATAGATAGATAGATAGATAGATAAGAAGTGTAGCAAGAACGGGCTCGAACTGTCTTCACTTCCCGCTGGCCTTGGTACTAGATTACAGTCTATACATCGGGGAATTTGATCGCTGTATATATGTCAACGCAGGCTACCTCGAAGCAATCTGTAGAAACTAAGAATTATGGCAAGGTAAAATTCTCCATCTGACCTTTGCTAGAGAATCCTAAAATACTACAATATGAAACAATTATTTTCTCCATCGTTACCTTGCTTGGAAGACTACCAAACGAGGCTCGAATAGCTCTTGGAAGAATTAGAAACCAAAGACAACTTGAATCTCTTTAGAAGACAGCGTTATTAACTCTGTACTGTAAGAGGTTTTAACGGATTAAAAGAAATCTGATGTCGCTTGGTCTCCAGGGAAAACCGCCAAGTAAGAAGGGTGTAACTGTTTCAAAGATTCGAGTGGCCAATGGCGGAGAGTCGATGAGAAGCTGGAGAGTGTTGAGACACTGATGGAGATGTTATACGTTTTAGGAGACATCTGTCACGTCATTCTTATCGGCAGTCCGAGCGAATGCACGAACGGCAGCATTTTTGATTGGCAGACTGTATATATACCAAAATAATTACAAACTTATAAGTACATTTCTAACTTAGGACAAACGAATCTAATCATAATACGTAGGCATAATAATGCTAATATTAGGTATTTCCTTATAAGGAAACATTCGTTCACCGAAACCTCATGTCTACTTTCGGTTGAAATTTATAAAACCTTGTAAAACTTTTTACACTATTTACATTGCTGGAACTGTTGTCCTCATCTTTATCGTCATATTCGCAGGTGGCGTTTCGGCCGTTGTACACTCCTGCCTTCTTCAGGTGATATACGTTGGAATTACCAACTGAATCTTTTATGTACATGGAAGCAAGAAGGATTGTTTAAATAGGATAGGGATCCCAAGAAAAGATATATTTACAAACTGAAAGACAGGTCAGAATTTTTTGATAGACCTAATGAGGAAAGAGGGCCTAGAGATTTTAACACAGACAGGACAAGAGGAGTTGGAATTAATGCCGGTAATCTGTTGCCTGAACGGATGTTAGGTCATCGACAAAGATGAATAGAAGAAGGGGAAGAATTACTTATAGAACTAGCAAAGATGTAGAATTGGTTTGGTTTGTTTTACGGCATATCAAAACCTCAATGGGTCATTTAATGCCGACAACATTTTTTTTTTCCTGCTAATATTTTTGTTTTGTCAAAAATCTATTTCTGTTAATATTTTTATTCTCAAAAATGTATAACTGGTAATATTATTTTTTCAAAAACATATAGCTGGTAATGTTATTTTTTTGAAAAAAAGAAAAGCCAGTAATATTTTTTTTTCAAATATGTATATCTGGCAATATTATTATTTATTCTATTTTTCAAAAACGTATAGCTGGTAATAATATTTTTTTCAAAAACGTACAGCTGGCAACATTATTTTTTCAAAAACGTATTATCAGAGTCCTTGCTATTGGACGTAGTTTATCGTCTTACCTGGGACGTGGATGTAGTTTATCGTCATACCCAGGAGATGAAGAATTGGAGAGTCATTATTGGCCACCTCGTGAAAGTAAACATCACACAGGAGAAGACTCCTTCGCTTATCAGGGAGAAACGGTAAAGGAAGCAAATAGATATAAAAATGCTGAAAATTATTTCTATCAAATACTTTCATTTTAATTACTACGCACCAATTTTGGAGATCGATAGATTCGTTTTCTACGGCTTATCAACCATTTGCAGGTTATTTAAAGCCAGAAAATATTTTTAGATTGCAAGAATATTTTTTAAATAGTAATCATTTAGTAATACAAGTCTTACTAATTAACCCATAGGTGGGGAGAAGAAGTGAATTCATACCGTTTCCCAAAGGGGATTTGCGCATAAGTAAACATAACGAACCCATCAAGAATTGAAACTCAGTTCCTCGATAAACAATTCCGAACCATTATCCATTGTACCAGCGGCCCAACGAAGCTTACATCACCTGGTATTCCATCTCGGTACTGACCAAGTTCGGCGTTGCTTAACATCAGTGATTGTACGGGAAACAATGTTTCAAAATGATGTGTGCGTAAGCCACGCCATTTTTGGTTATATTTTATTATTAAGATCTCTTTAACTTTATTAATAATAAAATTACAAGAAATGTATTTTTGTTAATACATTTTAATGGTGAAAAAAGAAATCAATTGATGTCAAGGGAAACAAAAATACGCCTCTAAAGTAAGCAACGGAGATGAATACATTAATCACAAAGATAGAAATTTAAAAGAACATGAATAAAACGGTAAATAAATGAAGAATCATTTGATGCGTATTACGAACCTCTATTGATAAAACGGAAGACATTCAACAGATTACTATCATCTTCCCTAGCTAAAGTATCCCATTATTATCAAGTTCAGGATTGATCCATCTTTCCCGATACCGCACCAAACGAATCAACTCTTAAAAGCCAACAGTCCGTCATCATAGTAAAATATCGTCCGCCTTTTCAGTGTTTCTAAACCCATCCCCCTATGGTCGTGTCCCTTATCGACCCCATTCTGGAATAATCTACAGGCCCTGCTATCTCCCCAGCCGACCTCACTTCACTGAAATCCCCAGACGCTTGCCGTCACGCCAAAGTGCACCGCCATATTCCTCCGCATTAGCAACGAATGCAGGAAGTGTAAAAGATGAAGGCGAAGTATAATACTGAAGAAGCTGTCTGATCCGCTCGAAGTAGCGTGGGACGGGGCGACAATTTAGAAGGGTAAAAAAAAAAAAGAAAAAAAAAAAGGAATTCTAGGTTGAGACGGTGGCGGTAGGGGTCCCGTATCGGTATGTCCTCCTGGAGGAACGCAGAGGAAAAGAGAAATGACTCATCGAAAATGCCGGAGGAGGTAGTCAAGAGCACCATAAATCGGAAAGAAGGAAATTAATCTTATTGAAGTAAGGTAAGAATAGAGAAGATGTACAAGAGAAAGATTGCAAATTTGTCTACCATTGTTTCACTGGTGAGGAGAAGATTCTAAGCTCCAGTTCAAATGTCGTATATACTCGACTAAAATACGAGTTGTCATAGTGATTTTAAGCGTATCTCAGATGTGGCAGTCAGTTATGTGTCATGCGTGATACACACTTAGGCGATCATGTATCTTTCAATGCATGACTGACAAGGCAGATTTTTCCCCGCAGTAGGTTGGCATTTCTTTCAGCGGTAGGCCAGTTGCCATCCAAGGCTATAGAACCAGGTCTGTCCTACTATTTACCCATAGCTAGGGGGAAAATAAGAGAAATCCTACCTTTCCCAAGGGTATTAGCCCGTGAATGTAATAGATTCGACTGGAAAGTCAGTCAGTCAGTTATGTGTCATGCGTGATACGCGCTTAGGCGACCATGTATCTTTCGATACATGATGACGAGACAGATTTTTCCCGCAGTAGGTTGCCATTTCTTTCTCCGTTAGACCAGTTGCCATCCCAAGCTCTGGAACTAATTACCCATAGCTGAGGGGAAGATGAGGATTCATAACTTTCCAATGGGTATTATCCCGTAAGTGAATGTAATGGATTCCGCTGGAAATTCAGTCAGTCATTTTTGTGTCATGCGTGATACACGCTTAGGCGATCATGTATCGAGGCAGTTTTTTTTTCTGCAGTAGGTTACCATTTCTTTCTGCGGTAAATCAGTTACCATTCAAGGCTATAAAACTCAGTCTGTTCTGTTATTTATCCATAGCTGAGGAGAAAAAGAGTCTTCCTACCTTTCCCAAGGTTATTAGCAAATAAATGAATGTAATGGTTTTGAGTGGAATTCGAACTCGGCTCTCCGATTCCTCAATTCGAGAAAGTCTAAAATATGGGGCATAAAGTAAGGATAGAACCCAATACTCAGTCGTAATTGTTCTAATGAGACCAGCTTGCTAATCATTGCATCACGTTGAGGTGCCTTAATGAAAGATCCTATAATCTTTATTTATTTATTTATTTATTTATTTATTTATCTATTTGCAAAAAAAAATATAATAAAAAATAAGCGGGCTCACTATACAGCGTTTAAAAATCATACATTTTCAGTGACCAGATTTATTATACACAGATCATTCTTTTTCTGGAGCGGTTAAATTTTATGCGTTACTTAGATGGATTCTCGTTACTTAGACGATCGTTTTTATTTTGTTTCTTTTTATTATTTTTAAGAATGTTACTGTAATTTTGCCTGAGAAGGTAATTACTTCTCTGGTTGTCAACCATTAATAGTTGACCACTTTTATTTAAAACTTTGTAAATGCCATCAACTCTATAGAAAGATTTTGCCACTGGGACATTTAATGTTCGAAAGAAGAAAATCAAGAATTATTAGCTCGGGACGCTGATAGTTCTAACATTGATATATGTTGTCCCAAAGAAACCTAAATGAAAGAAGAACTTGATATTAATATCAGAGAAAGACAGCATTAATAGCTTTGGAAACAAACAGTAAAATTAATGAAAATGGATTTATCAATACCAAATTGAAAAATTGTATCCATGGATATTGAACGAACGGACATGGAAAACATATTGAGGACCGACATTGATGTAACATTCCAAAATTCACCTTAAAAAAAATAAAAAGAGTTTGGAAGACACGCAACAATTTCGTCAGTTCACAGAGGACAGAGAGGTTTGAAAATGACTGAAAAAGGTTATTTCCAAAGTTAGTGAAGATAAGAAAGCACAGATTTGCAGTTTGTCGTTAAATTCAAAGAGTTCTTATAATTATGATGGTAACTGTAAAGTTTTTAAGATTGTTTTGCTATTATCACTTCCGGTTTTATTTACGCAGGAGGATTTATTTTGAGGATTTTCCACAATCCCACATTGTTTCAACACCAGTTTGGTAAGAACAATTGATAGACTGAAGGACACTAACAGCAGTGGTTTCTAAAAATACTGTACTTATAAAGCATCTTCAGTTGATTAACTTATCTTTAATATTTTTTTTTTAATCAAACGGCATTTCCTAGATCAAAATTTTGATCAGGTAGGTTCCAGTTACATAGTATTTCATAGAATGTGTTGTTTAATTTCAGGATACCTTGTTGTTTCGTTTATTATTGTCTGTGTAGTGAGTAGCCATGGTCAGGTGCAGAATAACGAACAGACCTGTCCAACAAACAAATTTAACAGAGTGTGCAATAAAAAGAAAAAAAAACGGAACAGGGCAAAAATAAAATAATATGAAGAAAGCAAGCAAGCAAACAATATATGCAAGGCAAAGTAACAGTAATATGCAAAATGTTCACAAACTAAGAATTAGCTTCGATACACCATAGCAGGTTCGGACAAGCAAACGTGGCGTTTTATCTTCTAGACAAGGCAGATCTTGAGGTCGCATTGAAAATCGGCCTATTTTATTGTCTGAGAAAAGAAATCCCAGCATGCATTTGTGTGTTCTTGCCTATAAAAAGTGAGGGGCATGTGTTTTACAGTTACTCCCTTACGATTGGTAAAAACAAAGAAAAAAATCCCAAAAAGAGACGTTATGAAGTTTACAAAATTTTACATCATGGAAGGTTTTGTAGGTCCCTAGTGAATATGTGAATATTATGATACATGTAGGATTGAGAGGTGATGGACAAGTTCTTGTGGGGATTGTTTGATTGGGTCGTGATTGCGATTAAGTAGAACTAGGATAGTCACTCTTGACCAGCTTTTTCCCTTCGACTTTGTGCCACAATTATTGTATAAAAGCAATAATATCCATTCCCTTACGATTGAAATAAACATTTTCTTTAGACTTCAAAATGTTTTACCATTGTATTTCCGGGAGTGTTGTTTACTTTCTATTTGGTCGAATCCTGTTTATAACGCAACGTTAGCTGTCTGATTTACTTTGATTAACTTTTAATTGTTTTACAATCGATTATTATATCTTATATTTCCTGATTAGCTAAATGTCACTCAATTTTATTATTTGTGGAATTTACAGGTGAAATAATGAACAAAATTATTTTTCTATATTTGATTCATTTTTCTATTTTGGGGCATAAAAGCCATCGGTTCTCATATGATTCTCGAAATTAAGCAACGTCGAGCTTGGTCAGCACCTGTACGTGTGAAACTTGGGTGAGCGGTTGGTGTAATGGATAACGGCTCGGAATTGGAAATCGGAGAGCTGAGTTCCAATTCCGGTTGGAGGTGTTATATTCACTTACGTACAAATAACATTGGGAAAAGTATGAATCCACCTATTCCCCCCAGCTATGGGTTAATTAGTACGACTTGATCAGTAAATAATTATCTCCAAAAATTTATTACAATCTAAAAATATTTTCTGACTGGAAATAGTAGAAAAAAAAAGCAAAAAAAAGAACAGAATAGAAAAGGAGATAAAAAAGAAAAAAAAATAGAAAAAGAAGGAGGGAATGTAGAAGGAAATCTAGAATTAGTAAAAAGACAAGGAGAAAAAGAAAGAAAATAGAATGAAGAGGGGAAAACAAAGAAGGTAAACAAGAACGTTCAGAAAGACAATGAGAAAAAGGAGGAGAAAAACTAGAAGAAAAGAAGGAGAAAGAAAGATAGGAAAGCAAAAAACTAGCAGAAAGAGCAAAAGAAAAAGAATCTTTAAAAACGTTACAATAACGACAAAGGGAAAACAAAAAAGTTAAACAAGAACTAGCTTAGTGACAAAGAGAAAAAAAGAAAGAAAACAAGAACTTGTGTAAGAGAGGAAGTGATAGAGATAGAAAGATTAGAAAGGAAGCGAAGATTTGATAAAATTCTCAATAATTTCCTTGTTCATATATCTACATAATTTTCTCAAATTTCTCTTTCGAGACATTTAATTTCCGTCTCTCTTTTACTCTGTCTCCCTTCTATAACTCCTACCACTTTTCTTTCTTTTTCCTCCTCTTCGTCTGCCACCATCACTATTCCATTTTCTTCTTGGCGTATCCACATGAATGCGTGCCATTCTCGAAGATTGCTGACGTCAGCTCTGGGGGAATTCCCTCGCATAAAACCGCATATAAAATAGCTAATTGGGGTCTTTTGTAAGACGGAGAGGTTAAAGAGGACAAAGGTCACACGCTCTTACACGTTTCAGAAGGAGAGATTCCGCATATTTTTTTTTTGTTTTGATTATTGATTAAACAATTGAAATATAGAAAAATACGCAGGTTGTTTTGAAGGACAAAGAATATATTCTCATAAATAGACACTTAAACACATGCATTTACCCAAACAAAGAAGCAGATAAAATGGGTGACAAAATCAGATTTCTAGTTAATTGTTGAGATTCCTACTTTTTCGTGTGTGTTTTTTTAATTTGATTTTACAATTCTTTATTCAATAATGTAAACAAGACCAAGATACAAAAAAAAGAAACGTCTCTATATCATGAATATTAAACTTTGTAGTCTCTTGAATAAATAATCTTAACAACAGAATTCAAAATCATTTAAGCTGGCCCGACAAATCAAAGAGTAAGACACATAGCACTTAAGGTACAATAGAGTTTGTTATCGTCTTTTGAAAATCTGTCGTGCGCATGTGTAGTCCTACCAACATAACAAATTTGATCCAATGAAGTCCTGAGAAACGAAACGCGTCACAAGTAAACTTTTTCCACTTCGTCGTATATATATATATATATATATATATATATATATATATATATATATATATATATACATGTGTGTGTGTGTGTGTGTGTAATGTTGAAAACGGATAGTTTAGAAATACATGGTAATATTTTATTTCATGAGATCAAAACGATCTCGTCTCATATTAACACACAATTTTAAAACCTATATTTTCCCATCTTATTCTCTTTCCCTTCCCCCATATAAAGACTTTAAAATCTATATCTTCCCTTGTTATTCTTGAAAAAAAAATTTTTTTTTTCGCTTGTGCCAGGATAAATCTAAAATTCGTTTATTGATGTGAAATTGTTTAGTCTAATGAGAGGTGATCGATTTGATCTCGCGAAATAAAATATTACCATAGATTTCTAAAGTCTCCGCTTTCATCATTATTATATTTGCTTTGTTCTTACATTGAGATCTCATTGGATTTATATCCTCTTTTGAATTATCCAGACTAATTATCAAAGAATATATATAGAAAAAGGAGTAATTCATTTTTTATTGATTAAGCTGACATTTTTTTTATCATTTTAAAGATTATTTTTATACCCATATTTGAGTAGATTTTCTGTTTTATTTTAAACTGCATATTTATTTTCGTGAAGCATATTAAAGAAAATATGAACCTTCATAGAAATAACGTTTAAAGTGATAATATGGAGAGTGAATGAAAAGTAACTCCCTATTTTATGTATGATGGACTCCGTCATACATAAAATAGCGAGTTACTTATCAATCACCTTATGTGTGTTTTGTGTATATATATATATATATATATATATATATATATATATATATATATATATATATATATATATATATAAAAAGACTTAAACACTAATATTCCATGGTTATAATTTATTACATTGGAAAGGTAATTACGATCCAATTCATCAGGCCTTCAAGTTCAAAAAGAAATCAGAAAATTTGAATTTGTAGGCCTGAGGAATTGATAGTAATTACCATTCCAATGTAATAAATTATAACCATGGAATATTAGTTTTTAGTTCTTCTTATTATATTCTTACTCTGTCCTGGACATTGAGTTCTACCTATTCTATTCTCTTGGAATATATATATATATATATATATATATATATATATATATATATATATGTATATGTATATGCATGTGTGTATATATTGATATATATTTTATATATGTGTATATATATATATATATATATATGTGTGTGTGTGTGTGTGTGTGTGTGCTTGTGTGTGTGTGTGTGAATGTGTACGTTAACCACTAATATTATCTATCTATCTCTATCTATCTATATATATATATATATATATATATATATATATATATATATATATATATATATATATTATTATTATTATTATTGTGTATGAATAATAATAACAATAATTCAAACGTTATCTTTAATGGTTGTCCGTATTTGACTTGTATTTTAAATCAAATTTATTTTGTGTACTGGTTTGCGTACTCAATTAATTGATTTGTTCTTTTTTACGGCTTATCAACCTTTTGCGGGTTATTTAAAGTTAGACAATATTTTTCGATTTTCAGAAATTTTGTAGGTAATGACCAAGCTCAACGTTGCTTAACTTGGGAGACCCGTTATTTTTTTTAACGGGATATGACCTAAGCCTAACTAGATTGTACAAATAAATGTTAGATGAGGATATGGGAAGAAGAGTCAAAAGTAAACATCGCTAAGAGCTAATAGGAAGTTGTGGAGGGGCATGATCGCACAAGCCATGAAGTTGTATGAATAACTGTTGTTATAAATACCAATCTGATTAAATTTCTCATTACCGATATACACATTCGTTTGGGCTTTTCGTTTTTGTTCTAAACTTGTAGAAAATTATTGAGAATATAATTCAGTCCGCAAATGATTCGCTAAAAATTCATGCTTACGTTTCTTTAATTGTCTTTTCTTTCATTTCTTTCTGGATATTCCGTGTTCTCGTAATCATACACATGAATGCACAGAGCGCTCTATATGCATATACACACATGTGAGTTAATGCAGACCTCCACTAAATCTTAAGTATTCATCCCCCTTCCCGATTTGTGCAGCATTCTTTGTATCTTCTCTTGATTTATGCTACTATAAGAGCCACTGCAATATGGCGATCGCGCTTCTTCCCCTTCAGTGGCTGGTTTTAAAGGTGGTATTTATCGACATAAACGAACTGGAAGTGGGGAGGACCTGGTATTAGGCTTGAAGGATGAGGAAGTCGGAAAAAGGATTTATGTGGGTACGCAGAGTGCAGTAAGGGATAAAATGGGTAGACGATCAGGGAAGAGCAGCTTCCGTTTTTAGTTACACTCATCCTTTGTGATGTGTTAAGTTTAAATCCACCTTCGTTTTTGCCGCCATTTAAAACGAAAAGCCTTTCACTGTCGATCTCTCTCAGTTATTTCTTCTTCTTCTTCTTCTTCGAAATTTGTTTTCTGTTTGTTTTTCGCTTCTCACAGATGAACTTAACGATTTTACATGGTTAATTCTCCTTCCTAACCCTTCCACTTCGCATCTGTTATTTGCGCATTTTCTTTATTAAGCTTAGTCTGGTTTCTGTACAAAGAAGAGAAAATAATAATAAGAAGATTATGCTGCGCAAGATGGGAATGTTTTGTCTGATTTTCAAATCGGCTTTCTAAAAAGATTTAATGGTAAGTGTTTTGATGAGCTTTCCACTTTACTACTTCGACAAGGAATTTAAGCGCGGTACTAGATTGTCAGTTAGGTCTCAGCGATTTACACATGAATTTGCTAGATCTAGCTATAAGCTCTATGCCAACAGATTTCTCGCACTTCTCGCTTGGGGAACTCAGTTCTAGTCTCTGGCTTTCCAGTTGGGTTTAATCTTCAAAAGACTAAATGCTATGTCAATCGTTATTTTTGTCGTCTTATTTTTACTTATTTTATTGTTCTCTCTCCGCAATAATGCTTTTATCATATTCTTTCACACTCAGTAACCACTTGCTTCTATAGATACTTTCATAGTAATTATTCTGATGAGTTTCCTATTTGGTACCCCGACATGAAGTATTTTAGTGCAGTACTAGATTAGCAGCTAGATTTTACCTTTGAAATGGTTAGATGTAATTGTAAGTTCTATGCTAATAGTTTCTTCCCTCGCACTTCTCGCTTGTGGAACTCTCGGAGATTGACGAAATCAGCGGTTGTATAAAATCGAATGTTAAATATGAGTGATTAACCGTTTGCTTGTCCTGCGCATCGGATGTGATGTAAAGGGCATATGACTTCCACGCCCATGCATTATGGTGCACACGAGAATCTACTATTGAGCAGGACATCTGAGGAAAGGCCTAATCTAGTATTTTGAGCATCATGTATGATAATGTAGGTTCTCAAATGAAAGATATTTATGTTTCCACTTTATTGAAATGATTATAACATTTGCGTCACATATGATTGCACAGAGTGTAGTGTAAATAAATTATGATTTGTACGTTTTGCACATCACTTCATTATTATATGAAACACTGTATATCTGCACATTGGGCACCGCGAGATGGTGTAAGGGTTAGCAATTTTGTCTCGCTAGAACAATTACGACTGAGTAGTGAGTTCAATCCTCACTAGGTGCCTCTTATTTTCGGCCTTGTGTCACATCCAAGCTACGCATGGAAAGTCAATATATATCAGCACATTCTATTTGCCAAATAACCCAAGTTATCGTGCAATAGCTATAAATCTGAAAACAAACACGAACGTTTGGATCGTCCACGAAACACACTAAAATACCCTCTACAGTGAAAGGGTTAATCGACACGGTACTTTCATTAAAAAAACAAAAACGCGTCAATTGATTTCAGTGACATAACCTGATTCCGTCGTCTTTCCTCCTACGACGAACTTTGTCGTCTCACACAAGAGGCAGAATAAAAATTTGAAAATTAGCAAATTGCTCTAGGCACTTTCAATTAACTTCTCGAGTCGGTATTTTTTTTTTCAAACACAGACTAATTATTCTAACCGATTAAAACTTATTAAAAAAAAACATGTCAGTAAGTTCTTAAATAAAGCTTTTAATATAACATTCGTAATCAGTCTCCAAACTGAAATTATCCTTACCAGAAGAGAAAAGTTATTGAAGTAGAACTCACTGCTCTAGAGCAGATTTTGAATTTAATGCATAATTGCTTGTGAACGTTAAAGTAATTTCAAGAAAGAATTTTGCCTACGATCTACAATTTAGTTGTTAATTGTGAGGCTTTCACTTTTCTATAATCATTAACACCAAACAAGGCAATAAAACCACTTAGATGCAAGAAGGCTTACTGAGAATAGAAGAAAAAAACCGCTGTTAAGTGGAGATAACAAAAAAAGAAGAAGAATCAAGAAGACAGTTGATAACGATTGACAT